CGGAACAGTTTTGTATGTATTTTTATTTTGCATATAATGCAATGTTTTTTTCAGATAGAGCTCTCTTATCGTCAAAACTTTACTCTCGGCAAACAAATTAATTGAAGGGTATCTTTTTGGCTTTCTATTTATTATCTTGAGAATATATTTTTGGGTAACCACCAAGTTCGACAAAACCGTGCCACACGCGCTACCCCAGATTCTTATGCCATAATTCAAAGTAGATTCAATCAGGGCTTGGTAAACTATGTTCAAAAGTGCATAAGGCATGAATTCACGGAGTTGGTAGAATTTATAAATTGTTTTTCTGATCTTTTTAGTTATGTAATCAATGTGCACATTATACTTCAGGTTCTTATCAATGTAAACTCCAAGGTATTTCAGACAAGCTACAGACGAGATTTCAGCTGTGCATCTACAATCTGCCATTTCTTTAGGATAGCAGTTATAATTATGTATTCTTAATTTTGCGGGTTCGTCCTGCTTTATGTTGTACATAGAAAAATTTATAAAATGAGTTTTACTGTTATTTAGCGTTAGAAGATGCTGATCCAGCCACAATCCGACCATTGTAACATATTTTTCTGCCAGCGTACGCGTTTCTTCCCATGTTTTGGCTTTTACTAAAATCACAGAGTCGTCAGCATAACAGATGACCGAGCCATTTATTTCTGGTAAAATTCTTGTAAGATTATTTATATATATCACAAATAATAGCGGTCCGAGGACTGTACCCTGCGGCACACCACATTTTACAGTTCCCTTTTCTCCAATGAAATTATTTACCTTGACTTGCTGAGTTCGATTACTTAAATATGACTGGAACAGTGATAACTCTGTTCCTCTTACACCTATTTCACTTAGTATTTGCAGCAAAATGTGATGTGCCACAGTGTCAAAAGCCCTTGCTAGGTCAATAAAAATACCAATAGTTTTGTATCCCTGGTCAAAATGGTTCAGTATCTTCTCTGTTACAAGTTGGATAGCATCCTCAGTACACATCTTACTTCGAAACCCAAATTGACTGTTTGATAGAAAATTTATATCTTCTAGATGTTTTTCTAATTTGATTTGATACACTTTTCCAAAAATTTATTCACCGTAATCGCAATAGGTCGATAATTCTCAACTTTTCGTCTATCACCAGTCTTGAATACAGGAGTTATAATGGAGTTTTTAAGAACACTGGGGTAGACACCTGTTGCAAGAACTAAATTTACAATATATTTCACTATCATTCTCCATTATAGAGAATGATAGTGAAATTACTGAAAGCAATAAAATGGCAGAGAAATTTCTTGATTACTACTGTAATATAGGAAAAAATCTCAGTGAAAAATAGTTGAGAATAATTATGTTTTTGAAGGGCCAGGTACCACCTATGATGTAGCGACTTTTGCAGAGGTGACGGAAAATGAGTTGATAATACAAATAGGCTCTCTTAGGAATAAGGCGTCAAGTGCAAATGATGGTATTTCCGCCGTTATTATTAAAGACAATCATTTAGCTCTGCTGGAGCCCCTGAAATATATTAAAAATTTAGTTCTTGCAACAGGTGTCTACCCCAGTGTTCTTAAAAACTCCATTATAACTCCTGTATTCAAAACTGGTGATAGACGAAAAGTTTAATCCAGACTTTATCCAGATTTGTTCAGACTGATCCGGATTCTGGAAAATGATCCCCAGGTCTTTTGGGACCTTTTTCAGAATTTTTCCAACCCTTTCCAGAAATTTCCAAGTCTTTTCCAGATGTTTCCAAACTTTTCCAGACAATATCCAGACTTATCCAGAGTTTTACAGACTTTATCCAGATTTATCCAGACCTTATCCAGACTTGTACAGACTGATCCAGATTCTGGAAAATGATCCCCAGGTCTTTTGGGACTTTGGCAGAATTTTTCCGACCCTTTCCAGAAATTTCCGGACTCTTTCCAGACGTTTCCAGAGAATTCCAGACATTATTCAGACTTATCCAGAGCTTTCCAGATTTGTCCAAACTTCATCCAGATTTATCCAGACCTAATCCAGACTTGTACAGACTGATCCGGATTCTGGAGAATGATCCCCAGGTCTTTTGGGACTTTTGGCAGAATTTTTCCGACCCTTTCCAGAAATTTCCAGGCTCTTTCCAGACGTTTCCAGATATTTCCAGACTTTTCCAGACTTCATCCAGATTTATCCAGACATTTTCCAGACTTGTTCCAGCTCACTTGGCTTGTTCCAGGTTCTTGTTATGTGTTAATATAAGCGTGTTAAAAAAGTGTCGCTTTTTCGTTTCATGTCGCTTTTTCGTTTCATCGAGTCTCACATCACTCCCAACGATTCTAAAGAAGTTTTCACTTCAAAATTAATGTTTTCATTTAAAAAAATAAAGTTAGCTGTCACAACTTGTTTCTGGGTCACCCTGTATACATGATATTACCATCAGAAAAACGGCAACTGAAATCAAAAATCGATGTGTCCGAGGTTTTCATGAGCAATCTCACCAATGTGTGAAAAACTTTTCCTTTTTATTATTTTTCTAGGTTTTCTGGAAGTTCTTTATGTAATAAACGAATAAACATCATCTCTCCCACCCTCGTAACTACTCCACCTCACTTTTTTTGGTGTAAACATTTCAAGTATCTATTTTGCTGTATTTGTATGGGTAAATTTTATTATCTTCGTAATATATTTTTGTGTTTCCGCACATTTCATTCTCCACATTCTTATTTGTTAAATAAAAAGCACAATGTAAATTATAAAACTATTATTATAACTGTATACTTTTTAATTTATATTAAATATAATACCTAGGTGTATTAGTTTTGCCTCCACAAAAGTCCATAGGATTTATTATTCACCTTCCATGCAATTTGATCACACCCTTCCGTTATCTCGGAAATATTTGCCGTAACGTCGTCTATCACGGTCCTACTTTGAACTCGGCGACAAAGAATGAATTTCGCGCGCTTGAATTTGTTGTTGGCCTCTGAAGCAAAAAAACAAAATTCAAACAATCCGCTCAGTTGCTACACTACATATTAAAGACACAATTCTTGAATGCTGCAAGGAAAGAAATGATGAGTGGAGTAGAGAGGTGCATAGAAGAATATGCAATGAAGGGGATCTTGTAGCAGCTGAGGCAAAATATCATGTCAATTGTTACAGCCTTTTTCTAAAGGGAAAAAGCCTTGGAAAAAGCAACACACAAGCAGGAAGACCTATAAATGATATTTTTGAGAACGCTTTCACGATGTTATGTCAATATCTTGAAAATGACACTGAAAATTGCCAATTTTCCCTGAAAGAATTACTTGATAAAATGAAGACTTATTTACCTCCCGACACTGAGCCATGGTCAGTTTATTTTTTCAAAAATAGATTGAAAAAAAAATATCATGAGAAAATATTAGCTACGGACATTCCTGGAAAACCTTCAGTGATATGTTTAAAGAATAATTGTGAAAAACTTGTTTCCGATGAGTGGTTAAAACAAAGGGATAGTAGAAACAATACACCTGAAGAAGAACGTGTTTCCATTCTAAAGGCAGCCGCCCAAATATTAAAAGAGGACATTAGGGGAATGGTTACTAATTTGGATGAGTATCCTTCTTGCGATGATATCAAAACAGGTGGAAATTCATTTTTTCCTAATTCACTTGACGTTTTCTTTGAGGAGTTGGTCCTGAAAGGCAGGAAAAGCCCACTATATCAGACTAAAGTGTCTGCAATGAAAAACTTTATTATCTCTTTGGTACGTGTTAAATCCTTCCTTTCACCAGTGATGTTTGGTCTGGGAATTCAACTGCACCGCAAATATGCCTCAAGATATTTGATTGATACACTTGCAGCTCTTGGTGTTTCCGTGTCATATTCGGAATGTTTGGCATTTGAAAACTCAGCGATCATTAATCATAAAGACTCTATATTTGACGAAAGTTTTGTACAGTTTGTATATGATAACGCAGACTTTAACATTCGTACCATGGATGGACATGGGACATTCCATTCTATGGGAGGAATAATGTGTTGTTCGCCTTCTACTGGCTCTAATATTCAAAGTATTCCTAGGCCAAAAAATCGGGTTCTTGCGTCAAATGTTGGAGAATTTGGGAGTCTACGTTTACAGGTAAGATCTTAAAAAATATTTAAATTATACAAGGTAAAACTTTGTTAAATCATCAATCTTTTTCTTTGCAGTTCTACAAAACACCTGCCAAAAGCGGACTTGGTCGTATTAAAATGGAATCCATTCAAGAGGAACCAAATGCTGAAAATGAACGTTTACCGGTACTTCTAGACACTCTGTGGCTAACTGGTAAGGTTTTGTCTTTTTCCTCAATTTCCTGGACTGGTTTTATGTCTACTCTTGAGTCTGACTCCTTGAACGTGGATACAAGTATTATACCGTTACCCTTTATCAACTTGATCCTGGCAACTTGAACACAATTTATACAGCTCTTTCATTTGCGGCCGAAAAAAGCAAACGGTATGAAAAATCTTGTATCGTAACGTTTGACCAACCACTTTTTCAAAAAGCTGTAGATATCGTAGAAGGCTCAAATAAAAGTGATATTGTGTCTTCTGTGATTGTCAGGCTCGGAGGTTTCCACACTCTGATGTCTTTTATGGGAAGCGTTGGAAAAATCATGGCCGGAAGTGGCATAGAAGAATTGTTGACAACCGTATATGCAAAAAATACTGTACCCCATATGATGAGTGGCCATGCTTATTCTAGAGCTTTACGAGGACATTTTCTAATACATGAAGCTTTAATTTTAATTATGTTGGATGACCCAGAAATTCTCTCATTATCCGAAGAAGACATTCAAAATATTCATAGTTTGTATAATGATACCAAACTCAATGTTATCAAAGAAAATGGATTACTTATTGAAGTTCAAGAAAAAGTCTATGGACGAATTGATGATTTAGCTAACACTAGCAGAACTGGAAAGTTGTGGGCAAATTACTGGAATTTGATCAATTGAATAAAACTTTTTGTTCAAGCTGAAAGAATGGGAATTTGGTGGCTTCATATTCACTGCATTAAACGGATGATTCCTATATTTTATGCTACTGGACATAATAACTACGCCAAGTGTGCACATCTTTATTTGCTACAAATGAAAAAATTGAAATCTATCAATGAAGAAGAATATTGTCGTTTCGTAAATCAGGGATTATTCACCATTCGCCGAAGAAGTAAATTTTGGTCAGGAACATGGAGCGACATGGTAATTGAACAGAGCCTCATGAGAGCAATGAAAACTCAAGGAGGCCTGACTCAAGGCCGTGGATTTTCTGATGCCTCTTTGGCCAGATGGATATCAAGTATGTCATCGTGTATCCCTATTGGTATATCTTTAGAAGAGTTTGTTCAAGTAAAGTCAATATCTTCAGATCAACATATTGAATTAACAAATGCCCGACAACGCCGAAATGAAAGTGATTTAAAAAAAATTCTAGAGTGGCTACAAGATCACAACCCCTTCAAATGTTCAGAGCTTTTGTCTATTTCAACAGGAATTATTGCTTCTCCTGATGTAAATTGTGATAAAGCTCAGGAAATCGGAGAAGTCATTTTCAATAGTCACATTGAGAAACATTTTACTGATATTCAGTGTAAAAGAAAGGACAATATCAAACATTTGGCTTCTATGAATAGTAGCATCAAGCTACATAATACATATATAGACTTCAACCCGATGCAACTTTTCAACAGAATAATTTGTTCAAATAAAACACCAGAAGAAATAAAACATTGCTTCAAATATGAGTTGTCGCCATATCCTTTATCACTTTTTAAAGATGGTAATCTAAGAAAAGGAACAAAATCTCAACTTCTTCAGGAGCTTGATAAGATCTATAAGCCAGAAAGTATGCCCCATTCAGACACTGTTTATGTTATAGATGGAGGATTTCTGCTACACAAAGTCTCATGGCAAAAACCAGCCTCATATAATGACATCTTCCTTCAATATGTAAATTATGTTATTCACAACTATAACAAGGATTGTGTCATAGTCTTCGACGGCTACACGAAAGAGGTTATATCAACCAAAGAAAGTTTACAACGATGCAGATCAAAGGGAAGCATAGTAATTTCCATCCATGCCCAAGCTTCGGTAATTATACCACAAGTGGATTTTTTGAAGAACAGTCAAAATAAGACACAGTTTATAAATATCCTTCGAACCTACTTTGAAGACGTAGGTATAACTGTGCATCAAGCACCCAGGGATGCTGATTATCTTATTACAATGACAGCAGTAGAACTATCCATGATAAAAAAACACGTCACAGTTGTCTCAGAGGACACCGATATAATGGTTTTGCTTATACATCATGCAAAAAATAAAAATATATCCATGCTTCGCCCAGGGAAAGCAGCAAAAGGTAACAAAGTATCAACGATATCTGGCATACAAGATAAACTTGGACATCTGAAAAAACACATATTGTTTTTGCATGCCATATCAGGATGTGATACCACATCTTTCCTGTTCAATAAATCCAAAAAAACTTGTCTTTCGCTACTTAAGGAAGATAATGATCTCTCCCAAAAATTTGACGTATTTTTGAATAGTAATGCAAGCAGAAATGATTTTCTTGAGTCGGGATTAAATTTTATTTTGAGGCTGTATCGCTGCCCAAAACATATCAAAGATATTAATTTGTTGAGGTATACTTTATACAATAGGACAGCATCAAGGCAAGGACTCAAGTCCACATTTAATTTGGCTACTTTGCCCCCAACCGCAGACTCTGCAGAACAACATGTTCTCAGGACATACTTTCAGGTATCACCCGTGAACTACAAAAATAACAAGTTTTAGAAAATATGTTCTATTTTTCAGATTCAAGAATGGATTGGCAACAACTTGGACCCTCTGCAATACGGGTGGAAGAAAAATAAGCAAGGTAACCTGATACCTGTACAATGTAAGGAAGCTGTAGTTCCCCCTGATCTATTGAAACTGATTTTTTGCAATTGCAAAGAAAGTAACTGCTCCAAAAACTGTTCATGCAGAAAACTTGGACTTAAGTGTTCTTCCAAGTGTGGGCAATGTTACGGAATCAGTTGTTCGAACTGTTGTTTCGTGGTAGATGAGGAGGAGGATGACGGTCTGGATGACGTCACACAGGAACTTTTTGAAGTTTAATTTGAGATTATTGAATACATAATATGTACACTATTATTATAAGCTTCATTATTTTTGTATTATACGCTTGTTCATTTATGAAAAATTGATATTTAATTCGAATGGGATAAAAGTAAAGAAATGTTTGAAATATTCACCATAAAAAGCTCTGTATCTCCCTTATCCTTCATGTTATAAAAAAAACGTACAGACACTTTTTATAGAGAATTAAATTCTCCACAAAAAAGGTTTCTTGAGTTTTTTCGAAAAAACTAATAGAAACTGAGATATTTGAAAAAAACAAAAAAATCCAAGATGGCGGCCATTTTTTTCAACCTTCCACCCCTAGGACTGAATGGGACTTTTGGGAGGTTAAATAGGAGGTCATTTACTAAACATTCCCGCTGGAATCAGCTTGTTGCTAATTTGTTGCACCCTGACCCCCCAGATTGACTCAGCTATAAGGACATACACAACATCAAAAATTCAGCAAAATTCAACATAGATCACTTTTCCATAAGAAATGTGCGGGGTCCTTTGTTAAAAAATTTGATTGTGTCAAAAGAAGCGTCATTAAAAAAATATGACAATATATTATCGTCGTACGGGTTCTATACAGATAAAAAACGATATTAGGGAATAAATTTCAAAAAAAAGACATTACATTACGCACTAAAATACATTGGGCATGTTCCGTTTTTCGATTTAAATTAATTTTTCCACAATATGTAACAAAGTAAAAAATACCAGAATCTACTAGATTTTCTACTAGATTTTCTACTAGAAATTCTGACTACTAAAATTTTACAAAAAACCTGAAAATCCACCAGAAAAGTAGAAATCTACCAAAAGTGGCAACGCTGGTGAAAACAGCCTACGCCAAGGCGAGAAAGGACATGCTGCCTATGTCACAACTGGTCATTTGGCGTGGTGGGGGGCTTCAGATTTGTTACACACAGGCCTTATGAAGATAGGCTATCCTACGAAAGCGTAGAGGGGCCACATCCTACTTTTTTTTTGGTATTCACACTTTTTTTACGAAATTTCGTAAAAAAAGTGTGAATTCACAAACTTTTTACGAAATTTCGTAAAAAAAGTGTAAATTTTTGCTTTTCTGTAAAAAAAGTGTGAATTCACAAACTTTTTACGAAATTTCGTAAAAAAACTGTGAATTCACACTTTTTTTACGAAATTTTGTAAAAAAAGTGTGAATTTTTGTTTTTTGTAAAAAAACTGTGAATTCACAAACTTTTTACGAAATTCACACTTTTTTTACAGAATTTCGTAAAAAAACTGTGAATTCACACTTTTTTTAAGAAATTTCGTAAAAAAAGTGTGAATTTTTGCTTTTCTGTAAAAAAAGTGTGAATTCACAAACTTTTTACGAAATTCACACTTTTTTTACAGAATTTTGTAAAAAAAATGTGAATTCACACTTTTTTTACGAAATTTCGTAAAAAAAGTGTAAATTTTTGCTTTTCTGTAAAAAAAGTCTGAATTCACAAACTTTTCACGAAATTCACACTTTTTTTACAGAATTTCGTAAAAAAAACTGTGAATTCACACTTTTTTTACGAAATTTCGTAAAAAAAGTGTGAATTCACAAACTTTTTACGAAATTCACACTTTTTTTACAAAATTTCGTAAAAAAAGTGTGAATCTGATTGTTAAATGCAAATGGCAGTTATACATTCTTCATTCAGTCTGCATTCAACATTATTGTGTGTATGTGATTTCTAGTGCATCGTAAGATCGTTTTTTTCAACAGAGGATACAAGATACAATGGAGGAGGTGAATATATGAAATTCTCTTATTAGCTACCTATACTTCAACTGTAGATAATACCACCAGTCAATAATGTACGCTTTTATTCCCGAGGATTCACGAACCGAGCCGCATTGCGGCGAGGGAGTAAATATTCCAAAAAAATTATATCCATTATTGCCAGTAGTATACTCTACTTTATTTGCGAATAATTTATTTATTTGAGGATTTCAATAAACAACTTTTCATTTTCATCCATCTCAATACAAAAAAATATACCTACAAACACTAGGGGTTTGACATTTAACACTGACACTTTTGAGTCTGTTATTTGTTTGTATTGTTGTGGACAAGCGGGAATAATAACTACGGGGAATAATGGCTATTGATCCCGCGTTTCGTCATTATTTCCTGTGGCCTGTGGGAATAAGATAACGGTTCTTCAAAAAAAAAACAAATCAAAGGGTGCTTTGATTACGAAAACGTACGTCGCATTATTGTTTCGTCATTGGTCAAGATTTTTGACATGACATTCTGACATTACAAAACTCAATTTTTAGGTTAGGAAAAATATAGCTAAGACATACGTTTTTAAAACCATAGCCAACTTTGATTTACTTTTTTTTTAAAGACCCGTTATGACGTTATACTGCAAAAACCACAAGTATAATACGTTATACAGAGTGTCCCCGTTCAACTGGTCAAAAATGCTAGGGTATACATAGAGGAACCATATAGAAGTAGTTTGAGATAGGACACTGATGGTCGGAAGTGCGTCGTTTCCAAAATACAGGGTGTTGGAATTTTACACGCATCTTGGGTGGGAGAGATGCAGGAAATGTGTTGAAATGCATGGAGATCACTTCGAGCATTTGCTTTAAATAATTAGTTAATTATAATTTATTTATTGTTTTGATTTTGCTCGAGAAAATACACAAAAACCGTCTGTGCCAAAAAAAAAATTAGGGTTCTTGTTGAATTTGATTTTACGGTGCGACGGAGAACAAAAACTCAAGGGGCCTTTATCGTTGAAATTAGATGATTACTCCAAAAAAAAAAAAAAAATTTTCTTCCGAAAAAACAGTGGCGTACCATTTTCTTCAAAAAATTTAACACACATGTGCTTCAAGTCCGTCCCTGGAAAAATCAAATCAACTCCAGTTCCTTAAAAAGTTGCATCACCACCCATCACTTAGATCCTGAAAATTTCTTTAAAATTCTTAGAAGCGTTTTTAATACAGAGGGAAAAATTCGATTTTTTTGTAAAATTTGAACTATTTTGGAAACGACGCACTTCCGACCATCGGTGTCCCACCTCAAACTACTTCTCTATGGTTCCTCTATTTATATATCGTAGCATTTTTGACCAGTTGAACAGGGACATCCTGTATATGATTCATAAATAAAGTAATTAATAAGTTGGCATCTTTTTAATAGCTTCTGTAGCTGATATGTCATGATTAAAATAGAATTAATTTAGGTAGGACTAGTGTTCGGATAATACCTATAAACTATGTTATTTATTTTAGGGTGATTTAACTACCAGAAGTATATTAAAATATTTTTCCTATGGGTTTAAGCAAAAAGAAATTTTATTAATGCTGCGGACTTTACATGGTATTATTATCTCACACAGAACCCTTAAAAGAGTACTACAAAAAGCGAATCGCTACCGAAGAAAAAATTATTCATCTATTGGGGATATAGTTCGTTTCATTGAGAACGAGATAAAAGGGTCTGGGCAGTTACATGGTTATAGGTGGATGCATCTTAGATGTATTCAAAATAACTTGGTTGTGACTCAGGAAGTAGTCGCTGAAATTTTGCGTTTTTTGGACCCAGAGGGACATGATATACGTAAACGAAAAAGACTTAGGAGGCGCCAGTATTTGAATAAAGGACCCAATTTTTTATGGCATATAGACTCCTATGATAAATTAAAACCCTACGGAATATGTATAAACGGATGTATAGATGGGTTTTCCAGGCACATCATTTGGCTAAGGATGGGACCCACATCAAATGATCCCAAAGTAAGTCAAGAATGATTGAAAAATTTGATCCCTGTATGACTTTCACGTATATCCTTTTAACTTCTTAGGTAGGTAGTTCTTAGTTGTATTAAGTAAATGGAAATTCAAACGTGCATGCGTTTCAGTTCTGATCCTTGTTTTATTGTTCAATATTTTTGTGGTAATAAAACAAAAATTCTGTTAGAAGTTGAAAAGTTTCACATTTTGAGTTCATATAAATAGTTTTATTGATTAAATAAGAAAATAATGAAGGATAATCTCAAAAAAAAAAAAAAACTAGGACTGCTAAGAGATTTCGCCACATCAACCTGTAACAATAATTCAGCTTCCATTTTCTCTGCTATATGGTATTTCTAATGATGGCTGGAGGCATTCAAAACAAGCATAACCAAAAAACCTTAAAGTATATTTTTTTCAAACCGCACTTTTCTCAGTTGTAAGTTAAATTTCTTGAATAAGTTTATTACAGCTACATCCTCAATCAATTCAATTACGAATTTTTATCGACAACAGCTTATCGAAACTAGTTATGGAGACATCCTAGTAAAGTTAAAAAACATAATATTATGTGGATAGGTAATATACAGTGTGTCCAAGATGAGGATGGGGTTAAATTACATAACTTCAACTTTGTGGAAAAAAAATTAAACTCAAAAACAAAATACCTAGCTAAATTTGTTAGTAGGTATATAGTAGGTAGATTTCGTAGATTTTTCCTAAATCTATAACTTTCAGGTTATCGGTGGCTATTTCTTGGATGCCTTAAGAATTACAGGCGGATGTCCTGAAACTGTTCGTTCTGATATGGGTACGGAAAATGGTGTAGTAGAACGTATTCAAAAAACATTGCACGAAACCTTTAACATTGAAAGAAATGGAAGACCACCCCATCTCTATGGAAAAAGTACCCATAACCAACGAATTGAATCTTGGTGGGGTATGCTCCGAAAACACTGCGTTCAATATTGGATGAATGTTTTTCAATCTCTAAGAGAAGAAAATTTTTTTCGAGGAACTACCCTTGACAAAATGTTAATTCAGTTTTGTTTTTCTGCCATTATAGAGGTAGGTTACCAATAGCTACACAATTCGGCTCCGATCTAGTCCTTTTAAGTCAGCATTTTATTTAAAAAACAAAACGCGCTTAAGGAACGCTATAACACTATATTATACTATAACTAAATCAACTTAGTTTCTTTGGGGTTTTGCTAACTTACGAGGAATAGATTTCCCACTAGGCGTTAGGTGAAAGGTCAGCTTGGATTGGTCGACATTTTCTTTATTATTGATTCAATTTGATAAGCAATGAACAATGCACTTAACGCGCTTTGTTTTTTTAAATAAAATAGGTACTAACATACGTGGATTATTTATAGATTGCACTAGGCGGATAGCTCGCAAAAATGTACCTTTGTTGTCTGGTGAGCGCTGTTTCCACTGGAGCTGTTTTATTTAGGAGTTATTTGGTTAAAAATAGTAATTTTTGTAACTAAGTGCGCGAAATGTCACCAAAAACATTTCCCTCACGAGTTGCAAACAAAATTTTTTCTACAACTCCATTTAAATATCGATCATTTGAAGCTTAAATTGCATTAACACTCAAAGGCAGGTGAATTTCAATTATTTTTGGTTTCCTGGTTATTGAAATTCAAGTGAACATGAAAAAATTTAACAAACGTCATCAGCGCAATTAATAAATACTCCCTAATAGTACTTATTGAAATTTGAGCCTATAATGTGGACACTCTGTACAGGGTGACCCAGTATTAAGTCAACACCTTTCCGCTAAAAAACGGATTTTTGAAAAAATCAAGATAGCCATTTGGTGTATTTTGTTTCTAGGAATTTGAAAACGTTTTTCCATTTTTTTTTTTAGATTTTTCGTTCAAGCGCTGTGACGAAAAAAGTATTCTTTTTTAAATAGAATAACCTACATTATATTTGAATCTATTTTTTTAAAGGCTCCTATTTTCCTCATTCCAAACATATAGTTTGTTTGTCTTTATTTCAGTAATTTACGATATATTCTCACTTCGAGATCTGAATGGAAATAGCCGAAAACGTACCTATCATGAAACAATAACCAGCAGTTTTATTAAAGGTAAAATTTGATTATACCTTTTGGGCTATTTTTTTCCAATCTCAAAGTGAGAATATAATCGTTAATTATTGGAATAAATATAAACATATTTGAAATGGGAAAAAAGGGGCATTCGAAAAGTACCTACATTCAAATATAGGTTATTCCATTTGAAAAAATTACTTTTTTCAACACAGCGCTTTTACAAAAAATCTAATTAAATTTCGAAAAACGATTTCAAATTTTTGGAAGGGTGGTCAGCCCTTAGCGGGACACACTGTATTAGTATATAAACTTTTTCGCTAACATGGGAGTTTCTATCTATATTCTCCTTTTTTTGACTTCACCAAATTCAATAACTGTGGCAAAATTTAAGAAAAATATTGCTACTTGACTTGACATACGTTCAAAAAACCATAGTCAACTTTTACTTTACTTTTTTTTTGAATACCCGTTGTCATGAAGCCGACTAAATTTTATTTATTTTTAGACTGAATTGGAACAAGTTGTTCAGGACTGGAATATTCATAAAATAAGTAAAACAAGGAACAGTATTTCCCCAACTGGAAGACCTGCTTTGATGTACGAGGTTCCGTCTTTATATGGAGCTAAAAGTTACTTAGTGCCAGTACCTACATTTGCTATCGAAGAACTTTCCTCAAATTGCACATTTTCAAATTATCCTTGCAACGAAGATTTTTATGAACTTTGTACAATTTTAGTAGAGGAGCATCAATACATCCGAAATAACAACCCTACTGATTGCATTGAATTGTATAAAAAATTAAGAGTAGATTTACATAATATTTTTAACATTACTGTTTAATAGATTAGCTTAGGGCCACAGTATCATAGCACGCAGTTTTCGTGACGCATTGACCCTAATTTAGTTATAAGTAGGTAGGTAGTCCGACAAATGTTGAGTTAGGTATTGAGCAGTTACCACAAGAAGCAGGAAAAGACAAGGTCGTCGGGGATATTAAAGGGCCAAGTTCTTGTGGCGTATGTATCTATTGTTACAAGTTGAAACCATAATTATGGAATATGCATTAAACGATGTATGAAGTATGGATGGATTTTCACGTGAAATAATGTGGCTCAGATCTGGAACATGAGATGGTCTCAAAGCGACATGTCACTGACATGTATTGTTTCTTGTTCCTCACCAAATTTTCAATTTCTTTTTAATTTTTTTCTATTAGGTACCTACTACTCTTTTCTATGACCATTGAAAAATAACAAATGTTCAACCTAATTATCAGTGGAAATAAAATAAATAATACTCAAGAATACTGACATTTTATTTCTTTATTCCAAATAAATAAAATACTTTTCTCTATACAAAAATAAACAGGACATTGAACAAAAACAATTTTTGTTTAAAAATGCACTTGATATCTCAAGTGTTAATCTTAAAAAACTATAATAAATGAAAAAAAATAATTTCTCAAACTAATCTATTCCTTGGAGTACCTATGTACAGGGTGTTCTGTTATAAATGGTCCCCCCCCTTAACTTTTTTATTCGACGTTTTCGAAAGAAACGTCAAATGTGAAAGTTTTAAGAAATTGTCAAAAGTCTTTAACTAGGTAAGTTTTAAGCATATAGGGTGCGTCAAAGAGGTGTAACAGAGCGTAGTTATATTTTTTTAAAAGGAACACCCTGTATATTATGACATTTTTGAATTCTACGGAAATTTCTAGATATATTTCGTGTATAATGTCATATACCTAAGTTCAACTGTTTTGGAAATATTGACAGTTGAAAATTGACTTCTTTTCAAGTTTGACAGGCTGTAAAACCTAAACGGTTAATTTTAGAGCAACACCGATTTTACATTCTCATCTCAGTTTTTCATAAACTATCATTTGAGAACAATATTGAATTTAACCGGAGATTAAATTTAACCGGAATTTTCATTCATAGATTAAATTCAAAATTAGTGTCAAATGATAGATCATGAAAAACTAAGATGAGAATGTAAAATCGGTTTTACTCTTAAATTAACCATCTAGGTTTTACAGCCTGTCAAATTTGCACAAAAGTCAATTTTCAACTGTCAATATTTCCAAAACAGTTGAACTTAGGTATATGACATCATACACGAAATATATCTAGGATTTTCCGTAGAATTCAAAAATGTCATATTATACAGGGTGTTCCTTTTAAAAAAATATAACTAGGTACGCTCTGTTACACCTTTTTGACGCACCCTGTATACTTGAAACTTACCTAGGTAAAGACTTTTGAAAATTTCTTAAAACTTTGACATTTGACGTTTCTGTCAAAAACGTCAAATAAAAAAGTTAAGGGGGAAAATCATTTATAACAGAACACCCTGTACCTACCTATTTTGGGTAGGTAGATATGCTCTTGGGCATAATATTATCAATAAAAGAAAACAAATTTGAAAACGTAAAATGACGAAGAAACAAAATGAAATTCTTGAAATCTGCTACTACTTACTTCGATTAAAACAACGCATATAACAGAAGAGCGCTACAACAAAAGCGCGCTGTTACAAAACAGCGCGTAACATAAGAGCGCTATAACAAAACAGTTGGTAACAGAAAAGCGCTGTAACCTGTAACAGAAGAGCGCTGTGACAAAAGACCGCTCCAAGTATAGTATGCATGAACATTTGCACTTTCATCATTAACCCAATTTAAGAGACATTACCAAACTTACCGATAATATCCCGGTTAGTTTGAAATTTGAATCAGACATTGAATTGCAAACTAACCGAGCTATTATAGATATGTAATGCCTCATTACAATTGCAAATCAACACAAACTAACCGGGTTATTATCAACTAAGGTGAGTTTAGTAATGTCTCATTAAAATAAACTTACCCGAACTAACCAGGTTCAAAAAAAGAATGTTTTTAAGTTGAAAAAAATTTCAAACTAACCAGGTTTTTATCGGTGAGTTTGGTAATGTCTAATCCATAGGTCTGATCTGAGCTGCTTTCTTTCGGACCGGATCATTCGATTATAACGCGTTATAATCAGATGATCATGTTCTTTCGCATTTTCAAGTTTGACGTTAGCGGATCATGATTCGAACATACTGAACATATCAAAATTGCAAACTATCAAATGTTTATGCATACTATACTTGAAGCACTATTTTGTGCAGCGCTCTTTTATTACAGAGCCAATATTGCCATACTGGAGTTGTTTTTTCAGAGGGTTTGTTCGTTCTGAATAATCACACGATATCCATTACCCAAATATTGGAACTCAAAACAGACTTCAGCTCGTTCCTGAATACCACGTAGCTCTCATATGTGGATGATATCTGTAATAATCCAGAACATGTATGCCCTATTGGCAGCCTAGCAACCCCGAGAGTTTGGGTAAAATCAACTTTAATTGTTACGATGGGTAAGTTTGATCCAGTACAGAATCTAAACAGAGATTCTCGCGTTTTGTCATCTGTTTCTTTAATAAATTTCTTCAAGAAATTGAAAACGTTGCTTTGTTCAAGAGTAGTGTTTTCGGGATTATACAATATTATTTTTGAAAGACAATTTCTCACGGAAGGTTTTAGGGTTTCATAGACATTCAAAATTTCGGAAAATGCCTCTACCTTTTTACCCAGTTCTTGCTGAATACACTTAACAATGAATGCTGGTTTTTGTATAAGTTCCTGATGTGCTATATCCCGAATAAGTTGTCCCAAATTGTCTTTGGTCGGGGCCCATTTACAATCATACGATGCAAAAACGTCTATAAGTTCGTCATGAGAGACAGAATCAAAATTTTTTTGGGCCTCCTCAATAGTTTGTTTGTCAGTTTCGGAAATAAAATTCAAGAAATTTGAAGTAAGTTCATCATCCTCAAAATGGATGAAGAAGCAATATTTAACAAACACCGGCGCCATTTGTATCGGAAAATACTTTTCTGAGGTGTATCCGCAGAATAATATTTTCCCAACGGACCTCCATTCTTTGTCACCAAAATCATGCCTGATACACGGTACTTTAAATATTGTACCGACGGTACATTTTTCGTAAAATGTCGACCAAAATTCTGATAGTGCGTCTCTCCATACGCCGCCAAGGTCCTCTGCTATTTCCCTTTCGCCCGAGGGTAAAATCATCTCTATTTTCAAGGATCCGCTATCGAAGAAGTTTTGCTCAAAAGCTTTCAATAAATCTTCAAAAATGTGACCTCTTCTTAACACCATGATGTTTTCAATTGGTGCTGCTTCCACGTTATCAATGTCTCCATAGCCGATCTCGAAAGTCAGTGGGTCCTGAAACATTACCTACCTATATTATTTATTCACTAAAAATCTGATAAAAATACGATGTAGCTACTATACAGAGTGTCTCGATTCTAAATGTCATAAATGAAAGTAATGGTAGAATAGTATATTAAAATACAAGTTGCAGGCCACATTCTCGCACGAATTCGAATTTTGGCCACGAGCGACGAAGGAGCGAGTGCATGGATGAACGAATGAGTGCGAGAATAGCCTTCTGTAACGTGTGTTTTATACTATTTTTTCGAATTATGATTTTATTTATCATTATTTTTCAAAAATTTGTGTCGTTAGTTGGAGATTTTTTTTTTTAAATAAGTTAGTTGGTAACACTTAGTTACCAACTAACTGACAGAAGGACTTTATGATTTTGAAAGATTTCACAATTTTGGAGGTACCAATAGCTTTACTTCGAAAACAAAATGTCGCCAAAAATCGTTGAAGAATGAGCTTCATTTTTCAACGATTTTGCGTGACATTCTTACACGAAAATCGGAACTAAAATTTTACATTATCAGCCAGGTAAATGTGTTTAGTGGCGATTAAAGGAAATTACTGGGAGTTGTTGAGCGAGCCTAACACTTCCAAGTGCCAGTAAAATCTCTTACCCAGCGTATAATGTACGGGTTGTTCCTCATATTTTGACAACCACCTGGAGGATTAATTACAGGTAGTAGGTGAAAGGTGTAAATACAAAAAGTGTAGGGATTTTTGCATATTATTTTTTGGGACAGATCAAGCAATCGCCCATCACAAAGCGCGGAACAAGCACAACTTGGATTTTTTTAAATAGGATACCCTGTATATTATGACATTTTTGAATTCTACAGAAAATTCTAGACTATCTTCAACTATTTTGGAAATATTGACAGTTGAAAATTGCCTTTTTTGCAACTTTGACAGGCTGTAAAACCTAAACGGTTAGATTTAGAGTAAAACCGATTTTACATTCTCATCTTTAGTTTTTCATAAACTATCATTTGACAGCAGCATTGGATTTAACCGGAGATTAAATTTAACCGGAATTTTCATTCATGGATTAAATTCTAGGTAAGTGTCAAATGATAGTTCATGAAAAACTAAGAAGAGAATGTAAAATCGGTTTTACTCTAAAATTAACCGTTTAGGTTTTACAGCCTGTCAAAGTTGCAAAAAAGTCAATTTTCAACTGTCAATATTTCCAAAACTGTTGAAGATAGGTATATGACATTGTACATGAAATATGTCTAGAATTTTCTGTAGAATTCAAAAATGTTATAATATGCAGGATGTTCCATTTAAAAAAATCCAAGTTGTTTTGTTCCGCGCTTTGTGATGGGCGATCGTTTTGTCTGATAGTTCCAAAAGATAATATGCAAAAATCCCTACACCTTTTGTATTTACACCTTTCACGTACTATCTGTAATTAATCCTCCAGGTGGTTGTCAAAATATGAGGAACAACACTGTACAATAATTTATTTGTCATGGATTTGATTCACCTCGCTGCGCTCGGCGTTCAAATTCATGCGCGTCACATAAATATTACTTATACTCCTAATAAAATAAATATCTATTCCTAAAAAAGCATAATGCACGGCTAACATGGGATTTTTGGCTTTTATTGTCAGTTTTGATAAGCGTTGAAAAATTGACTTTTCTG